ACAAAAAAAAAATTTTATAAGGATGAAAAGCATAAAAATTATTTTTTCATTTCGGTTTATAGCTTTTGATTCACTTTGCATATTAATTGTATCAAATTTTTATTTTATTTTCATCTGATAGACTAATACAGAATATATATAGTAGCGCTAGCTTTAAAGGGCGGTAACGTGAAATATATCGAATTTTGTCAAATAAATTACAATATAAATAGAATAATGTGAATATCACTCTATAGTCTGCAATAATGGACATAGTTGAGGCAGGAGTTCATTTTATATGTTAACCATATTAAAGGGTGTGAGAGAACAAAATAAATAAAAAAATTAATAAAGCAACTTAAGTCATATAATACTTGATTTTAGTCCATCAATTATCTTTTAATTTAATGTAAAATTTGTAATTCTTTTTCAATGTAGCTTATGGTTATTAACTTGAAAGTCGCTTATTTTGAAAAATTTATAGACGTCACCTCCGACATTTACACCACTTTGACAAACTGCTTATTTAAATTAAAGTGTCTCTAATTTTATAAATATTTATATTTGTTATTTTAACTTAAATTAAATTTAATATTAATCGTTTATAAAACTTTTTTGTGATAGACTTTATGAGCCGATTTCACAGTCATAACTTAAGTGGCAATACTGACTTAAGTCAATATTAAATCATTAACTCTACTCACTTGATTCATTCATCCTTTATAAGTTTTAAGGTCTTAACTTACGACTGTGCAACAAACCTTTAAAGTTGACTAAGATACTTAATAGAATATAATGGGTCTTAACAGAACTTGATGGAATATATCAAAAATACAATCCATAAAATATCTTTTGCTGACTATGAAATTAAAAACTAAACTGTAAAACTAAAATATAACCTCTCCAAAAATTAGACAAACCGAAGATCAAAACCTTTAATTGATTTTTAAGTCAGTTTTAAGGTCTGAACGTGCGACTGTGGAACCGACCTTTAAAGTTGACTATAGTACTATAATATAATATAATGGGTCTTAACAGAACTTAATAGTATATACACATATATCAAAAATACAAAACATAAAGTTTCATAAGCTGGCTATGAAATTAAAATATAACTTCTCAAAAAATTAAACAAACCGAAGATTGAAAGCTTAAATCTTATAGAGTATACGACTCAACGACATAGCATGTCCGTACTTGAATTAAATATAAGATACAGACTTATACAGTAAATGTTTTCTCTTATATCCATTTAACTTACTTTCAGGAAATAAGTTCAACAATCAGGAACCTTGCAACAACCGATCAAAGCGGACAATGTGTGAGGAAGTTAGAGGCTGAGAAAAATCATTTAATCGATGCTTGGATTAATTGCAATATTTACTCAAAACAAAGATGTATGAAGGCAATACAGAAATAACTAGATCGAGCAGTATAGCACATAACATAACAATTACATGTATATGTTACCAAGTTAACATATGTTAAGGACTCAGACAATGTGAATAAAAAACAAGACATGTTAAAGAATTTTTTGAAACCTTGTATGACACAATGTGACTTGTATGACACAATATGGCTTGTATGAAAGGCATTAAAGTCAGTGTTAGTCTTCATGTTTCTAAAGTTGTCAAATTCTGTAACTATTTGCTTTCATATATATTTTATATATATATAAAATTACAATAAAGTAGGTACCAAAATCTCTTCTACTTATTCATATAGACCGTATTATAAAGTATACCGCAAACCGTATGCCGGACTGAAGACGCGCACAACGTGCAAGTATCTATACAAATATATTCGATGCTGATTCTTGGTCTTAGTCTTTTTATAACAACGTGTTGATAGATAAATACAAAAACAAATTTTTAGCGGTTTTTGTTGCTTTTAATATTTTCAAAAATTAAAATGATCTCACATGAACATCAACTGCTACAGATAGAATATCTATAATAAACAGAGAGAATTTTTTATATGTTCTGTTGCCGGCGAGTGTTGTATGTCTAAAAATTGTTGTAGGAATATATTTTTATGTATATTTTTTTATTACATTTCATTTTTATTGTTTTTACTTTGTTAATGATGTTCTTGTTTCTTTTTTTGTTTTTTTTTTGTTGTTGTTGTTTGTTCGTTGTCACATTAATATCTGCATATCTGTAGAAGAAACGGTACGCCGTTTTATCTGTGCCACAAATGAATTTAATTTTATTCTAAGTCATCGAGGATTTATTTTATATAAATTTTAGAATAAAAAGCGTGGGCGTGTTTTCATCAGGAATGTGATTTCGATTTTGATTTTGTTCTTCGTATAAAAAACTAAGGTGTAAAACGAATAATTCTTGCTTAATAATCTTTTTAATTTTATATATATTCTGTAGCATATAGAAATGTGTTAAAAATTCACTTAATTTTTAATTAATAAAAAAATTATATATAATCTAAAATATATGTATTAATTTTTAATTTTTTTTATATAGAAAATTATAATATAGAATAATTAATAATATTTATTAATACAATATATAGTGCATGACAATTGTGTTTAGTGTTTAGTTGACTTATTTGAACTCTCATATTTTGTAGTAACTCAATTAATAATTTTATCATTAAATGAAGTGAAAAAACAACTATGGGATCAAAAAACTACGTTATAAAAACTGAATATGACAAAACAAGATTTTAACTAGAAATGTTATTAGTTTAAAATGATCAAAATTGATAACAGAAATCATATCAATAAAATTTGATCCCAATAAAAATTGAATGATATATGAAATTTTGACGATCTTTAACATTAGTCAAAGAGCCACTAGTAAATTAGTAGTATATAAATAAAACAATTATAAAATTATAGTTTGTTGAAGGTTTTCATTCTTTGGTAAGGTTTCTATTATAAAAATAATTATTTCTCTACTTTACGATTTATAGAATTTATTATGTATCATGTTAAAGCTTTACTTTAAATACTTTTTAATAACATCATAATATTAGCATTTTTTATGCGCCGTAACAAAAAGAACCTCATAAAAGCACCTCATGGGTTTCTCCAGAACTGCATAGAAACGGTACGCAGTTTATGTTCGGTTATTAAACTAAAATTTATTTATTATGAATATAAAAAGTAATTCACTGTTTAAACCAACAAAAAGTTAGGTTTATCATGTGCTACCTTCTGATATACCTTCTGCTCAAAAAGTACTCGGATTTTGTAAATAAAACACACAAATTTAAATTTTATTCCAAATTAATTTTATCTTCTTCAAAATATGTTCCTTCTGAAGCGATACACATATGCCAATGCTTAACCCAATCTTCCATACACTTTTCGTAGGCCCGTGAAGGTATGGCTTCTTTTGTTCCTTCAGCGAATTCTCTTTTACCGATTTAATCGACTCAAAACGTTTACCACGAAGGGGCAATTTGAGTTTCGGGAACCCGAAAAAGTCGCACGGATTCAGATCTGGCGTATATGGTGCCTGAGCGATGACAGTGGTGCCGTGTTTGGTCAAAGAATCGCGTACAACAAGAAAATTCCATAGTAAAAATCGCTAAATGCACTTGTGGTAGTCTCACATTAAAAGCTGCTGTAAACAAACTAATTGACAGATGGCGCTCAAATTTGTATCATATGTCAAAAAAGAGTGTATCAACATAACAAAAATTTTTGAAAAAGGCCTATTAGTTAAGAAGTAGTTAACAAGCAAAAAGTATTAGAGATTTTTGTAAAGTACTAAAGTACTTTCTATGATTATAAAGAAGCTCCTAGGCGTGGTAAAACATCGACGAGAATAGCCGGCACTTGGTGATCGCTGACAAATGGTTCTTGGATATAAATTTGATCGCTCTTAGGTAGATATCAAGTCATGTACCCCAGCAAAATACGAAAAGAGATAGCATTTAATTTTTAATTGTTTTATTAATGTTTATTAATTGGTTTCTTAACTATTTTTTATTATATTAAAAAAGCATTGTTTATACTTTGTTTTTTCTAAAATTCTTTTTATCATTTTTGTCTCTTTTTTTTTAAATTTAACGTTACACTAACAATTTGTCTAACGATTAAAATTCATTCAGAAAAAGATTGTTCGCTTTAAAGGGCTATCATTTTTTGTCATTAATAGTTATTATGTTATTACTTTACAAACATATGTCAATATAATTTTTATCAGTAAATCAAAATGAGTTGATAAAAAAAAAAATTGATAAAATAAAAAAATATTGATAAAATAAAAAAAAGTTGATAAAACGAAAAAAAAAAAAATTAATAATGAACACTTACATATGACAATAATTTAAATTTCAATTAACCACTTCAGTAGTTAAGTAATTAATTGTTTAAAACTAAAATTGTTTGAATAATGACAACAATGGCAATAAAAATAATTAAGAAGTAAATTCAGTGACACATTTTACAGATACTTTAGAAGCAAGCTTATCTGAAGATATTACTTGTATGTACATTTATTAATAAATATTTTCATACTCGTATCTAATAAATGAGATATACAAGAACAAAGGGTAAAGGGATATATTTACAGAAATAAAACGTTAAATAAATTGCTAGCACAAAAATTAACACTTTAAGCTTCTCATCAAGCAATACAAATATTTACGTCTAGTACGGATACTTTCGTGCATAATCTCTCCAACGTTATTGGGATTATAAAACACTTAAAACATTTTCTTAACTATAAAGAAAATCAAAAACAACAACAAAAAATATTATAATATACGTATGTGTTTATACTCGTGTAACTAAGAAACAATAAAAATATATACGGAAGATATGCTTAAGTAACTTTTAACTAAACAAACTTTTGCATGGTCGCTAGTTTATCTCATATCTGTCACTGCAGCTTTCGTTGTTTTTGTTTATATAGCAAAACTAACGTTAATTGTTAGTTTTGTATAAAATATCTGACAGATATTTAAGTTTAAACTTTTTTTTAATATGCCTTTAATAAAGCAAATGAAATATGAGTATTGTTAAAACAAAGTATTTATAAAACATTGCTCCGCTACTCTATATCATATGAAGTTACACCAACCAACTTTGTAGTTATATCTACTATATATATAGATGGCTAAAAATATGCATAAATATTATAAATTAAGAAATTACATATTATGCAAGTT